TAGTTATTGATTTATTTATTAAAATTTAAAATGGGAGGATTTTGAAAAATTATTGTAAGGAAATAAAAAGAAATAAAGAGATTAGATGAACATACAATATTCATTAAGTTCTAGCTATAGATATAGTTAGTGATTTTTGAATTCGATCATTAATTTAAAAATGAGTATTATTTTTATCTTTTCCTAAATTGGTTATGATTGTTGTGAAACACTAATTAACAATCTATATCATTCCTTATCTATTTGATAGTAAGAAGAAACGTTCATTAATTACTTCTCTTTTCGACAAACAACATTTAAGAAGCTCTGGAGGGTTGGGTTGGGTAATCTGAAGTTCGATAAGTGATATTGTCTGTGTAGGTTGTACACACATCCATATGAGGAGATCAGTAAAGTTTTTAAGGAATCAATGCGATATAACGAGGAGAGGATTACCCAATTGTGGTCGAATCAGACTCCTTAGACGTGATCTGTTTTCTAAACAACGAGGATTCAGATTTCTTCGAAGTTTCTTGGCTAATCGAGGAAATCAAATTCAAAATGGTGCATGCAGGAGTGGTTTCTTATGTCCACGTCGAGACATAAGAACAAGGTCGCCCACAATCTGGCGAAAGAGGCTGCTGGAAAGGAGGAAGAGCAAGATTATTAATCTTCTATTTTTCGATTTCTCTTGTAAAAAAAACATTTAAGAAGTTCTTAGAATTTATTTTTTTTAGAAATAACACTAAAATCTAGAAAGATGATGGCCAATTCTAGCTAAAAATATGAAAGTTTGAATCATTTAGACTAGATTACATGCCTTCTATAATATAATAATAAGTATGGTGGCAACCAATTATATGCATGCTACTCTGACTACCACTAAGTATTTGAATATTTTAACAATTAAGGATCCAACATTTTAATGGTCAATAGGCAATATTAATAATTGAACGCCAATAAATTAATATAGCAAAATACATGAGCATAGGAAGAAAAATAACTAACAATTAAATTGCATTTAGATCTCATAATTCTCAAATAATCAAACATCAATTAATGTGAAATAAAATTTAGAAAGTCACGAAGAGGAAAAAGAAAATCTCATAGAAAGAAAATCAGAAAATGGGATGGAATGATGAATCTTCCTAGAAAACTCCCTATTTATAATACTAATTGAAAAATCTTATTTGAGAGAATTATATCTAAATTTCTAATCGATTAAGAAATTAAACTTGTGCCAGGTTTAAAATTTGATTTTATTTCTTTATTTAAAAAATACCCTAATAAGGTATGTCTGCGCTTGATGAGTTCTTTTTCTAATTTGTGAAGTCATAGTTTTCTTCTAATATTGTGGTTTTAAATTATATTTTTTCAATATCATCAACCAGATCACAAAATATTAAATTATAATAAAGTTTTAATATTTAACCGTGATTGATTGGTTCATTGGTCCAAAGGATAGTTGTTCCGTGAGAACACTCACAGATAAAAGAATAATAATAGTAAACAATAAAATTTAAATTTAAATAAAATAAAATTTAAATGTTTAAATACAATTTCTTAATAAAGTGCAAAAATAAATAATCAAGCCATGAGTGTATTTTGTGCGTTAATTATCATCCAATAACATGTTAAAAAATAAAATATATAAAGAAATTACAAAAATTATTCTTTTGTACATTAACCTACTTGTTCATCAAAAGATATATTTTTTAATTCTTGGGTGAATTTTGGGACTTTTTTAAAAATAGGTAGGAGTAAAAACACTTCTTTTATAACTATTTTAGAATCAGTGATATTTGAAAAAGAAATTGATTTACCATTGATTTTGTAAGAGTGATTTCATATTATTATTTTAATGTTGGGTTGCACACTTTTATGAGTGATTTTCATACAATTAAAATTGATTTTGAAGGATTAATGTTTGGTTTTAAAGTGATTTTAAGATTCTATTTGAAAATTTAGTTAACACTCTTTATATTAAACAATTATGATTAAATAAAAACATGATATATATGGATAGAAATGAACAATTCACTTCCATTGGGAGACCTTAATTTAGAAACAATTTGGAACCATGTCCATAAAAAAGAATTAAAGTGTGATATAATTAATACGAATTATGAATGAAGAGAAAGATAATAAATAAGTATACAAACTATATGAAAGTATGGTTAAATATTAAATCATAAACATAATACATTAAATTAGAAATAATAAATAATATTAAGAAAAGTCCATTTATGATAATGTAAAAACATATTTTCCATTCAAAATGTCATTCCAAGTCATCTGTCTTGTTTATGGTCTTAGAATAGTGTTTGTTTATTCTGTTTGTTAAATTTATCGTGACGAAATTATTTCCTGCCATCCCAACCACATCCTCCCTTTTTAACAATATCCACTGTCTTGGTCGAAGAGTTCTTTGAGGTACAAAAATATTTGGTTTTTTAACGGTCACGACTAAAGCTAATCTTGTCTCTGTTACCGTTTAAAAATTTGAAAATTCATTATTTAAAAAAAAATCTATATTTTTACATTTTTCATTGTCAAACATTTAACGGTGGTGAGAAGAAGATTACTCCTTTAAGTATTTTCCTTTAACATAATTGGTAGATTATTACTTTTACGGACACACGGGAGGAAAATTTAAAAATATTTTTTATAGTTAAATTAAAAAATGTATAATAGATATTTAAACTTTTTATATTGTCTTGAATTTTTAGAATAAGTGTTCAAGTAATTTAAAGTGCTCTATTTTTCTTTCTTTTGAGTTGAATAATATATAACCGTGAAAATTCAATTCTATGACCTTTTGGTAATTATATTATCTTAACAAGCTATATTCAGTTGACTCGATTAATCGCTCTACATTATATATACAATTTTAGTGTAAATAGACTGTCGTCGGACAAATGAGCTTGTAACAACGATCTTCGACACTGGTGTGGTGTCCCGCTTAATGGTCACCGACGGTTAGTTAGTAATAGGAGATAAAGATAGCAGAGAACACCAAAGGAATTAGTAACAGATTTTTCACTCACCCTGTGATCGTGGTGGCTTTTCCCTTTTATAGGCACCCTCGGACAACCATGGAGGACGTCCTATTCGTGGTAGAGCAGGGGTTGACGTTGTATACGAGATTTTGACGGGTGGTTAGATGACATCTTTGTGGCGTTGAGGTGGTGGTTAGAGGACATCTTTGTGGCGTTGAGGTAGTATTGTGACCTGCCATTCTGTCCCCTTGCAGTAGTTACCCATGTTGCGGCCCTCCCTCAATCATACATCCCGTTCAAATTGTAGTCCTCCATCTAAGTGTAACTCTTCGGGCCTGCCGCGTCACCCACTCAGACTTTCACCCTTAACTGTATAAACTTCACAACTTACCCGATCTCCAAGAGAAATCCAAGGGCGAACATTTTCTCATTTATTTATATTATAATTTCAATATACATAATTTTTTTTATATATATAAAAAAAAGAGATGATTAGTAGCTGAATATATTTTAGAAAAATCAAACCCATTTATTTCAATGGGAAAATGAAAAAAAAAAATTATAAGAAATCACCAAACACGTGAAGTGCAGGACTATAAACTTAATTTATTTGTTAGAGAAAGTCAAAGATGGCATACTCTCATGTTTGTCATTTATTTATAATGTGAATTCAATATAGGCAGCATTTTTAAAAACATATATGGTACTAGCTGATTTGACTCTCCCAAACACATTTGTTAGTGTTCTTTTTTTCTCTAAGATAATAATCAAACCCATTTACTTAAATGGTTAAATGGGAACAAGAAATTCATAAGAAATCACCAAACACTTGTGGGCACAAATATGATATAATACATAATAAAATACTTCAATTCGTCAATTTTGACCATTGAAAAA